GCAAACGAGCTGCAGCCTCTGCCAATCTCCAAGATGAGATTGGAAGAGCACCATCGGGGCAAGCGAGTTTTTGTTCGGACAATGACGCCCACGGATAAGATCAACGCAATCATGGCCATTGCGGAAGACGAGGCAGGCACTGCTGTCTTACTTCAAGTCTACAATCAGCCAGATCACAAGGCTGTGCAACCTGACGACCTACTCCCTGAAGGCAGCATCTGTATTATCAAGGACCCGTTCTTCAAGGTGACTACCGACGGCAAATACAGCCTACGGGTGGACCATGTTGGCGACATCATCCCACTAGCCGAGGGCGACGAACGCATCCCGTCGCAGTGGAGGACCACAAAGACTGGTGCCAGCTCCGAGAAGATCCGACAGCAAGGAAACACTGCTGTAGCACAGCAGAATTGGGGGAAAGCAGAGATATTGTGAGTGCATGGGAGGACTCTTAATATCAAGAAATCTTTTGCTAATCGCGGCCTAGATATTCCAAGGCACTCGCTTCTGCTAGCACGCCTGAACAGAAGCGCGCAGCGCTCCTCAACCGTTCCTTGGCAAATCTTAAGCTTCATCGCCCAGAGAAGGCGCTGAGCGACGCCATTGAAAGCCGACAGAACAATGAACCAACTGAGAAAGGACTGTTCCGAGAGGCCAAGGCCCACTACGCGGTGGAACAGTTTTCACTCTGCTCTGAGAAGCTACGCCAAGTAATCACACTGAACCCCCGAAACCGAGACGCAGAGAAGGAACTCGAGCGGACTCTATGTCGCATTCGTGAGCAAGATCAGGGGACTTACCAGTGGAAGCAGATGCATACCCAAGCCGAGGCCACCCCGCCTACGATCGATTGTGCGAGCTACACTGGTTCTGTCGAGGTGCGCCACTCCCCTGGACGTGGACGAGGACTCTTTACTTCCAAGCCAGTGAAGGCCGGCGATCTTCTACTCTGCGAGAAAGCCTTTGCATACAGCTATGCTGGTGACGATGATGCTGTTAGTGTCCAGAAGATCAAAATACTAATGAGCTGGGACACCAAGAGGATGGCGATGGGCGGGCAGGCAGATCTTCTCTCCGGCCTCGTACAGAAGTTGCATCACAACCCCCAGGCTGCCTCTCGTTTCTTCGACTTGCACCGCGGCAAATATCGGCCAGGCGAGACTGCAAAGCAGATTCAGAGGGTAGTTGATACGTAGGTGGTGCTCTCGAGGATAAACGCAAAATAATCGGCACTAACATAATCACAGGTTCCTTGTCGCGATGATCGTAAGTCTCAACTGCTTCGGTGCGCCGCGAGCATCCATCCTCAACTTGAGCGATAAGGGAGGTGAACAAGGAGGCTACACCACCTGCGGCATTTGGACTCAGGCGTCCCATATCAACCACTCATGTGTCGGCAACTGTCACCGCTCGTTCATTGGAGACGTGATGATGGTACGAGCTTCGAGAGACATGGACGCCGGCACGGAGTTGCTGATCAGCTACCGGATGACCGATGAAGGTGCTAGCTATGACGAAACCCAGAAGATATTGCAGAACTGGGGATTCATTTGCCGATGTGAGTTGTGCGAAGAGAAGAAGTTGATCTCGAAGCCGACCTTCCAAAAACGCCAGGGCCTTTTCCGAGACTTGAAGAGCACCATGAAAAACTGCAAGACTCTAGCCCACGAGTCCAAGGCACAACGGCTGCTTGGCCAGCTGGAGGAGACTTACGCCGCCAGGAAAGGATCCTACCGTCTGGAGTTATGGGATTCGTACCTTGCGCTCGGACAGAAGCGACTGAGCAGGGGAAAACCTTTTGAAGCTCTCGAGTTGTCGATCAAGAGCTTCGAGGCTCGTGGCTTCATTATCGAGGCTAGCCGAGCGACAAACTTATCCACCAAGCCTCATCTGAAGGTCATCAAGTGGGGTCCACCTGGCGAGCACATCGTAACGGCCTTCCTCGTTATGTTCCACGCGTACAAGACTGTGGCCCCTGAGCTATGCGGACAGGCGAGGGAGTATGCTCGGACGGCCTACGCAATTTGTTATGGAGAGAACGAAACTATTGAGGAGGCTTTTGAGGAGCTCAAGTGATGTTCGCACAAGCATACATGCCTGGAGGCGGGGGGATCCCACACTCATCTGGCGTATTAGGGTTGACACCACGGTTAACCACTCGCTGTGAGGAGTTTAGCAGTGATTTCATAAAGTTGAGATCTCGTAAGGGAATAAGAGAAAATGTGGAACAACTCATCATGCTCGAATTGTGCACGATGTTAACTCCATCTTCCAGAAATACCCCGCAAAGTCGAAACTATTGACAATCAGGCAGGAAGTTCGTGGTGAACACTTTCAACGCTATTATCCGTGTAACTTTACTACAAGACTACTTCAGTTAAGATGGAATCAAGTCACTCAGCTGTGTTGCCTACCTCGTCTTTTGAAGTGGTCGGGGCAACTTGGATGAAGGCCCGCCCATGTAAGTCATAGACAGTCGCCTCAGCCTGCTTCACCTGCCCGCCTTCCATCAAGTCGCTACTGCAGCAGGATTCCTGTTTAATTTGTTTAAACTGATTCCATTACTTTCCAATATGCCCATACACCTGGGCATTTCCAAGTGACATGTGGTTTATCTATGTGCCTTGCTGTTGAGCAGGCAATCGGCGTGCCATTGTGAGTAAAGCTGTCACCAGCTGTTGCCAGCTTACACGATAGACCTATGCTAAATGATACCTTATGTAATTTAAGGTTTCGAACTGACCAGGGACCCCTATGAGCCCCTGCCCAACCCGACTTTAATTGACGATAGTGGGACATTTCCAACCGCGTCGCCAAACGCGTCAAGCCCCATGCAGTTCGCGATGGAGCTCTCCTCGTCCTTGACGGATTTATCTGCCGTATCATCGCCAGACTCATTTAGAACGGCCTTCCAATCACCAGATGCCATATCCGAAAAACTGACTCCCACAGGTCCCGCATCTCCCAAGCGCATGTACTCATCCGCGACCCTGCTCCCCCGTGAGCTGAAGGAGCATTGCCAGATCTACCTAGAAGAGCACCTTTGTACGTTAGCATGCTATCCTCCCTCCTCACGACATGTGCTGACAGCGTTCTAGACAATGGCGCACTCGGCCTGTACAACAGCCTCCTCACCGCCGGGTACTCACGAAAGACCAATACCAACCCGAAGCGCGTTCCTGTCCCTCCGTTAACCCACCTTGCTCTCCTCAACACTCTGACCATCCACCCGAGCCATACGACTCGAGCCCCTGGCGCCGACCGTCTCGAGGTCTGCTCACAGACACTGGACTACCTGCGAAACTTGCTCGCCATCGTTGGGCCTATCAACGCCGGCTTCAAGAATGCGTTCCAATTCCATGGGGTCCAGTACGGCCGCCGAAACCGATACCACGATGAGGAGGACGAGGACCTCGACGGTGATCAGATCGGAAACAACAAGTTGGCCAACGAGGACAGCATATGGCAGCGTGCGCAAGACTTTTGGGCTGTCCTCGGTTGGGCATTCAACTGCAGCAGACTGCACCCCCACCGCTGGCGCTTCTGGAAAACATGGCTGCAGTTCATGATCGACGTTCTCGAGACCGACATCTACGAGCGAAAGCGCTTAGACGAGGAATCGCTGGCCTCGTCGCAGCAACCTCAGGACTGGGCACACATGCGAGAGTCGATCCTCGTCATGTACATCAAGCAGAAGACTGACTCCGGGCGGGGTGCTCTGAGAATGATCCTCCAAGCCGTCTTCGCTGACGGCTGCACCTCATCCCTGGCAAAGTTCCCCGAGGTGTTCAACAAGGAGACAAAGGGGTTACCAAGCGAGGACAAGAAACGCAAACGCATGACTACGCTTGATATTGAGAACGACCAGTTTGGCGACTATTTCAACGAAGAGCTGACGGACGACGAACCTTCCGAGGCGGGCACGCCGGGAACGCCTCACACTCCACGCACACCAGCTCGGAAAGCTGGAGATGTTGTCGCCGCCCCACTGGCAGATTCGATTCCTCTCCGTTTGAGACTGATGGAACTTCTGTCAGAGGTTGCCTACAATATGCCTGAGGAGTTCATGGACCACAACGAATACACACTGGACTTGTGCAGGTTACTCAAGCAGCAACCCCTGTCATTTTTTCACCAATTCATCACCGACATGAGCTCGTACATACAGCGATATGGGGCTGCTTTCAAGATCGACTTCCTAGCCGTCCAGCTCGATCAACTGCTGCCCTCCGGATATGAGGACCCCAAGAAGGTCATCAAGGGGGAGGACAGCGGCATCATCATCAACGCAGACGTCCTCGAGTTGTGCTACCTGGGTCACCATGCTAATACCATCGATCCAGAAGACAACGCCAGGGTGGCGCTGATCCTTGAGAGCCTGCTCCACACGCTACCGGCGGAGGAGATTCGGGAAGCCAGAGACAGGCTTCGGAAAGCCGCGCTTAAGGGGATTGAGGTACGGAAGGCGAAGGCCAAGGGTACGAATCGGAGGAGCGCAACAACCCCGAGTCGCCGGGGCCGAGGTAAAAAGGGCCCTAGTCCGCGGGATATTTACGCCAAGGAGATGATGGATCTGGCGGGAGAGCGTATGCTTCTCTACGTTGACATTATAGGCGCTCATGAGCCTGAATGTAACGGAGACGAGGATGAGAATATGGATGACTGAGGAGAGTGTTCATTTGCTAGGGACTGTGACGGGATTGCATGTAGAAGGGGGGTTTAGGCGTTTTACAGAGTCAAAGAACTCATGATACCCATACTCGAAAGTTTCGAGATTCAACACATTACATATTGTTCGTATGCTCCTCTGTAACTGCTCATGAACCATGTGAAGAGGGTGTACATGTTGCAACTTACTTGCAAGCTGCGCACGATGACTGAAGTCCCGATTTGGTAGGTGGGGTAGCTGATCGCAAGGCGCAAAAAATCCCCAGAAACCCCGCCAAAGTCTGTCACTCACATTCAACCACAACCCCTCAACTCACGAACCGCCAGCAGGCATGCCGGTGAGTCTTCTTCCCTTCTGGGCTCGTGACAAAAGAAAGCTTACTCTGTGACAGTTAATCGTAGTTTCAGGTCTCCCGACCTCGGGCAAGACGACCCGCGCAAAACAGCTACAGGCCCACCTAGCAGCACGCATCGCTGCCGCCGCCGCCGCCGACGGCAGCAGCAAACAGTCACCACCGTACCGACTTCACTACATCTCCGACTCGACGCTCTCGATATCGCGCGATGTATACGACCTCGACCCGAACAAGGTGCGCGCGCACACGCGCTCCGCCAACGCCTCGGAGAAGGACGCCAGGGCGGCTGTTTATGGGGCCGTGAAGCGCGTGCTGTCGGACCGGGATATCGTTATTCTGGATGGCATGAATTACATAAAGGGGTGGCGGTACCAGCTACACTGCGAGGCTAAAGCTATGAGGACGCCGAGCGTCGTGCTTCAGATTGGATGTGGAGTTGAAAGAGCTAGGGGGATAAACGAGGAGAGGTTGAGGAGGCGAGAGACGGCTGCAACGACGACCACGACAGAAGAGACAGAAGGGGCGGACAGCCAGCCCTCGGAAGGTTCGAGAGACACCACCGAGGACGAGAACAAGCGAGACGACAACGACGAAGAGCAACAGCCCTACGACACCGACAACTGGGACAACCTCGTCTTCCGCTACGAGGAGCCAAACCCAATGACGCGCTGGGACAGCCCCCTCTTCACCCTCATCTGGGACGACGACGCAGCGCAGACGGCCAAAGTATGCGACCACATCTGGGACGCGGTAGCGGGCACAGGCCGGAAAGCCATCAAGCCCAACCAGGCGACGGTCCAGCGCAGCCGCGAGACGAGCGGGGATTATCTGTACGTGCTGGACCGCGAGACGCAGGATGTTGTCAAGAGGATTTTGGAGGCGCAGGCTGAGGGGGAGGAGGGCGGGGAGGTTAGGGTCTGGGAGGGTGATGATGGGGCATCGGCGGCAGCGGGAGCAGCAGGGGGAGGAGCGGGAGGGGAGAAGAAGAAGGAGCTTGTTGTACAGCTTCCTGGTCGCAAGGTCGGGCTGCCGCAGCTTCAGAGGCTGAGGAGGGCGTTTGTGGGTTTGAATCGTGGGGGCATTGGGCTTGAGGGCGTAGGGAACTTTAGTGCGGAGAGGATGAGGGAGAGCTTTGTTGGGTATCTGAATGATACGTTTGAGAATGAGGGATGAGTTACTCTGTCCAAAAGGAGCAAAAGGGGCGAGAGAGAAGCGTTTGCGATAGAGGCTGTATAATTGATACCCCTGAGATGGTTCACGATTCGAATTGGGAAATCTCTGCTTTGAGGCTTACTTGTGAGGGCACTGGGTGAGGCGACATAGAGTTACGGGAGGGCTCATCGCTCTCGTTATCGAGAAGTGTTTGCATAGAAACTCAGTGCCAAGAACTTTATGAGGCTGCATCTGTAGATGTGTGAAGGACATGTATGCTAAGAATACGTTTTGACTTTGGTAAACATGGTCTAGCAGAGAGGCAGCTGGCTGTGATTTCGCCTCCAGCGGCGTGTGCCCATCATGCCTCAAAGTGGTCTTTGGAAAAATTGGCATTTTGGAAACAGATACTCGGTCGTAGAAGAGAGAGAGATTCTTGCGTCACTGCCTGCCCTTGATTGGCACAGCTCACCGAACCCGAGTGAGGTTAACTGCACACCATCAGGAATGCTGCAGCGTCTCAACGTGATCCAGCGAGCCCAAATGGGAGCGGCCAAGTCGATTTTAGACACTTGAGAAAAAGGTCTAGGTCATGATGGCGTGTAGACTTTGTGTGAAATCTATCTTAGTCATTGTGGTTGGTGTTGCATAGTGTAAGAGAGGTAGCGTGCCGAGGGACGCTCTGAACTCTAGTGAGGCAATCGCCAAGAGCCCGCGTTACTAAATCTCAGTCAGACCATTTTCTCCTTTCCAAGACGGCTTGACAGCAGGAGGTGAGGAGCTACCCGGATTCCGGATTCCGAAAGGCAAAAAAAAAGTACCCGTTCCAGATCTCCCGATCGGAGCAGATGCAGAAGCTTGCAAAGTAGTCGGGTGCACCGTGAAGACTGTAAAAAAGCATCCATATCCACGGACACATGTTGCATACCACTTTTCGACCAGGACTCACAGCGCGCAGACGTCCTCATAGTGCAACGGACACACCCGACTTTGCGATAAAACTCAAGGAACGAGCCTGAATAGGAGTTACGAAAACTAGGTCAGAGTCTCGATACAGGGTGAAGGCTTGTCGTAGGCCAAGTGACGAGGGAACTGGGGTCGCGGCGAATAGCGCCTCGGATGTTAACCTAAAAGGTCCGGAACGGGGAATGCGAAAAAGCTGGAGTCTAGAAGGCACCGGTGAATGGTAACCCGCATTGGTGGCGAGGTAGACGGCGTCGTTTGTCTAGTTCGATTCGCCAGCGTTGGCTCTGTAGAACAACAAGTGACTACGACTGTGTAACCGAGATCCGTATTTTGAAACTGAGACGACTTCTACTCGACCACGGCGCACAAGATGCCCTCATGCCAGCTCATGTGTTTGGCAAGGCGGGTTGACACTGGCTTGATAGCTCTCGTCGGAGCCTTATTGTCCGAGATGAACTTTCCGAGCGCTTTCAGCCTCAACTTCGAGATACTGATCTTGACTTGTTCAGATCTCAGCAATCATCAGTTCTCATTGCGATCAAAGCGTACTGGAACAGGAGATTCTGAACTCGGTTAGCTCCCTGTCATTGAAGACAGTAATGAGACTGAGCCAGACCGTTACAGACTTCTGTGAAGCTGGACGATATGAAGATTGAGTCATATACTATCAGATCTCAACGGCTACTCTAAAAGTCAGCATTTGGCCTTCTACCTTCCACGACAGATGAGAGTAGGCGTAGAGACTGAGCCATGGTGCCGGCATCATATTGTCTACAGTGCTATTCCTGGGAGGAGTACCTAGCGCGTCGCGTGTTTTCCATTCCGAGTTAGATCTCAATCAATTAGCTTCTCCGGTCCAAAAGACTACACAAATAGATCGACGAGTTTTGGGACCAGGTGGACGGTCGTTTGCTGGCCAGTGCAGAGAGTGTGTCGCGTATCGGCCGGCGGGGTTTGGGTATGAGAGTCGAGACTCGGCCGCTTGCCTCACTTTAATTTGGCCGGCCTTTCCAGCAAGTCATGTGGACCTTAGCTCAGACTGAATGAAGCTGGACGATGCGGGGTTCCACGACCAGGAACACAGAAAAAGGACGCAAATGCTTCATTGATTCGTAGAATTGTATCCGTGTTGAGCAGGAGCAGGTTGCGGACCGTGAAATCAAATACAGCGACAGTGTCACGAGGGGAAAGTAGCCGTATGGGCTGATTATGTTGTTGGAGCTTTATGTCAAAGTGTGTGCGCTGGGCTGCCTACTACCTACCCGTGACGGATGCGGTTCGTCTGGAACGGGCGACAGAAAAGAAAAAGAAAAAAGAGACATCCGTCGGACTTGGAGACGGGAGGATCAGGACGGAAGCACAGGCGCGCCGGCACAAGCAACAGGAATGGCAACGGCAACGGCAACGGCAACGAGAACCTAACGGCAGGCCCCCGCGCCTCCAGGCTTCAGCCAGTCAAAAGCAGCGGAAGGTGGGTTGGACGGGAAAGAAAAGGGATGATGAAGGACGGATGAGAGGGAAATGCAATCGCCAAGATCGCTGGCCAGCCACGAGTGATAAGCTTTGCCAAGAGGAACAGAGCCAAGACGGGCAGGTGTGGGAAAAGACGGGGTGTCACCGTGTCGGGTTGGGGAAGTTTGGGAAGGAAGCACGAAGAACGGGGGAAAGAAAGAAAGCACAAGCCACCCGTGGACCTCACCTTCCACAACTTCTAAGGTACTTAGCGTATCACCTACCTATCTGACGGTGCAGGCTGCAGCCAGGTGGCAATCACGCTACATATCCGTATTGCACCATCGAAGCACGCCAATTCGTCCGGCTGCAGGCTACCAAGAATAGGTAAGCAGCAGCCTCCCGTGACGTGCCTCCATGCCACCTGTATGTACGGTACTCCGTACACCACACGATTATCTGCGGGGTTCGATGGAGCCAATACAAGTCGGTATTGGCCACTGGATTGGACAGTAGAGCCAACAACAGGTTTTGGCCCGGCTGACACCTGCCTTTCTGCTGATTATCTGGCACTCCCGTCTGCAGCAACGTAGGCCAAGTCGATATGGTTTGCCGGGCGCCGACATTGGATCACTTCACTCTGTCACTCACCACACGTATTACCTCCACGCATTCGTACGAATAGTTACACATCAATGATCAAGCAATCCTTCAAACAAGCAACACCTAGGAAACCTTTTAGAACCCCTGTGTCGATGAGGATTTGCCGTTGGCCTGAGCTCGTTGATCCCCTTTTGCGGACTCGGGAACGATGCAAATGGCCGAGAAGGGACGGAACGGGAAGCTTGTTCGAAAAGAAAGAAAGAAAAAAACTTCAATCCCAGCGCCTCATTTCCGTCACAGAAGACAGGGCCACAGGGGCCTGCTAGTGGTGGCCTGTCAGTGGTGGTTTTTTCTGTACAAGTTTTCCCTGCTCATCTCCAACAGAGGTGGTACGTACTCGACCAGTTACCCATTTGGACGTTGGCCCGCGTCCATGGGTTGCAGATGACCCGCAGTTCTCGCCCAAAAACTCATCTCATTGGGTGTGGACTGACCGGATGGGTGAGCCCGGGACAAGGGGGTGTGGCTGCAAGAGGGAACGCCGTGCCCGGGACCCCTGACACAGTGTGGGATCCTTCCGCAGCGCTGCCCTTTCATCATTTCCTCATCCAGCTCAGTGGCCGCCGAAGCGAGCCAGCAGACCGTCAGCAACACCTTCCGTTCTCCTCTCCGTCTTGGTCACACACACCGTCTGTTCAATTCCTCCCGTCTCCGTAATACTTGTAGTAAATCGACAGCGATCACAAGCACACGCTCTCACCTCTATTTTAATTAGAGTTGACAGAGCCACGATCGATAGGCGACAATGGGACTGATTTTACTGATGTCATCGGCTTCCCCTCAAGCTTTCGTCCAACTCTCAAAAAGAAGAGTGTGACGAGCCGACAGAGCAAGAGTCGAACGAAAGTCGAGGGGTTACCGCTCATTGTCAGCCATTTTACCCTTTTCCCGTGTTTCATGAGCCAAGACAAAACGCTCCGAGCTCAAGACTCAAGAGACGACTGGTGGGCCATCTGATTCCTGTACTTGATCAGCACGGCTACCCTTCTCCGTGTCAGGGTGCTCACCTCGAGACGGAGAGGCTTAGCCACCGCCGTGGCACCGTTCTCGTTCCCAGCTCTTCCATTGCAAGTTGCGGCCGATACTCGCGGACACGCTCTTTCATCACTTCAACGGTGGGCACGGCGACGCAGCCCGCTATTGTCTAGCGCCGGGCGTACAGTGTCTTACAGTCTCGCTCTAGAGAGTACGTATTTTCCCTGTATTAGATAATATCTAGGAAGTACCTAGGTAGGGACATTCGATGCAAATGACTGACGGAACAGGCGACGTCCATCTGTGACGTTCACCTGGATTACTTCATAACAGCACCCGTAGGTGGACTTCTTCTCCCATTGTCGCCGGATATCGAGGAGCACTGCTGTCTGCTTGCCCGACCCGTCAGACGATGGCGCGCTGAGTGATTCTTCCTCACTGTCCGACGACACCTCAGTCGGACCATTCTCAGCCAGACCACGAATGAGTCTCTCCACTGCTTGGCGCCACCTGTGACAATCTACGAAGCTTTCTGAACGAGCCTTCTGTCACACCACGCGATGCGGGACGTGAACGACAGGCGACTGATTGAATTGGTCTCTATCAACCTTCCCCTCCCGTCTGATCTCGATGGCACCGCTCGCCCTCCCAAGGCTCACAGTGCAAAGCTGACGAAGAAGGGGCTTGGGCGGGGGTCTCTGTTCGCCTTCTCGCTGCAATTTCAACGCGACGGTATTGAATCTAATACTCGGTGCCTCTTTGAGCGCATGTCAATCAATTGTTCGCAGCCATACCCTGGTGTCGGAGAGCACGCCTCGTACTTGTCACGTACTGTACTAGGTTATCACGGTTATCTACCGTCTCGCAATCCCACGAAGCTGGAGTCAGCGTCCTCATGGATCGACGATGGATTGCGGAATGGCGTCCGGCAATGCCATGCAGAGTCGGAACCTTCTTCGTACACG